GACCCTCAGCCACGCCCCGACACAGGGGTGACGCCGGCCAATCACAAAGCTTTGATGCGTTCAAGTGCATTATTCTGGCACAGGAAGATTATGTTACAGGACATAAAACAGAATATTGTTGTTCTATTTTTAGACACATCTCGCGATCGACTGGTTGGGCACCCCTGGGCTAGACCATAGGTCTGTTGTGGTAGCAAAGTAGTCATCTCTCTCAACTTCCCCACGGCATTTGTCACATAGTGCAGGCAGCGCAGACCTGCTGAAATAATACCGAGACGGCATCGCGTAACGCTTGTCCAACGTGTTGACAAGTTGCTTAAAGCCCTGGTTGCTAACAGTGCTAACTATCTTTAGCGATGTGAAATGTAATGGCACCTGTAATATCTCTGTCTCTGCGAGCTCGTCGCGTAGGCCGTTGCTCTGTACAATGCGTCCTGAATCGATGACTGTGATGATGTGGTGGATGAAGTCGAGCGGGCATCTGCTTTTTGTTGTATTACTGCCCGGTCGTATTGCACTTTGTGGTTGTATTTCAGATGATTAAAGAGATTGGTTGTGTTAGCGTGTGGTGCCAACACAACCTGGTAACAAATCCTGCACTGTACTTTATTTTGCTCCACGTCGGACTCCTGAAAGCCAAATAGTGGAAATAGTTTGACCCTTCTTTTTAACGAGTTGCTGCTCTTGTTCTGACATCTTCGCTCGCGCTGAACACTCACAACACATGTCACTCCCACGTGGCCGAGTGGGCTTTTAGGGAGGGGCGAAAGCGCACCCAGCAAAATAATCGTATTTTGTCAATTATGCTGTTTTCATAATCGTCGCAAGCCATAATCGTAATCGCGATTAAAATACGATTAATTGCACAGCCCTAAGTGACTGTTCTGGAGGATAAAGGCAACAATAGAGCCTGTGTTTCTCTTCAGCTCGTCTTAGCGAACCGACAGAAGGGAGGATCAAGGATTTTGTCTTTTTGCTGTCCCTCACTTCAAACTACCTATCATGTCTGCCAGCTCAGTGATCAGCTTACTCAGTTGATCAAACAACAAACATTTGGTATGAACACTTTTGCATGATACTCGTGCCTCTCTATTATACTTACAAATAAAGCCAGTGATTATGTGGAGGTTTAGTTTGAACATCGTTTGTGTTGTGTGTTGATGGTCATATTTTACAACACATTTTATAACACATCTGCTCATGGAAAAGGAGCTGTTGGCAGGTTAATTGTACAGACTGCAGCTTCCAGAAATTATACCATGAAAACATATATTTCTTCTCTTTGATATTCCCCTTCCTAAGCATTATTTCTGAGAGCTGAGATGAAGGTGTAACGGCGATAAAAGTCTGAAAGGTGTCTTAAGTGTAGAAGTGTTAATGTCTCTATGCTCCAGCAGTCTGACACACCTGTTTGCAGGATGGAGAGGAGAACTGGCTTATTATGAACCATGGTGGTAAACTGACTTATTTTGACAGCTATTTGAACAATCTGAATGTCACTGCTCTCTAGTTTTTGAATCTCGCAGCCGAGTGCACTCGTGGATGAAAAAGACATTTTCCAGCAGTATCCCGTGTATCAAGTTTCTCTATTGCTTCTGTTAACTCGATTTTGAATTGTACTGAAGCCAAATTAAGTAACTATACAGAATGATACGGACAAAATAACAGATAAACCCTTAACGTGTAAAGCGGTGTAATCCAATAATACAAAGTATGGATTGTACAACTACTGCATTCAATCACTTTTGTTTAATGGATTTTACAGAAACCTTATTTTCATTTTTTATATTCATGCAGATATTAATTCTGTCTTTGTCTCCCATGCAAAGGCTGGATTTGTTAAGCTTCAGAGGGGAGTGTGTGGGAGAGAAACTCCCTGTAGAGCAGGGGTGTCAAACTCAAGGCCCGGGGGCCAAATCCGGCCCACGACTTCCTTTTATGTGGAGCTTGCAAAGAATATAATACGTTTTATTATACGGTTATATGCCACTTTACAGAAGCAGGTTGCCCATAAACTACATGTCCCACAATGCATCTCGTTTTCTGACACTGAAGAGACTTGCAATTATTTGCCCTGGACTTCTGCTTTCAGACGTATTTAATTACTAAGTTATTACCCTATCCAAAAATAATCCAATGCAGAGACAATAATATAATACATTATTTCATATATATTATGTATTTATATATGTATATTTATATAGTTACAACCGGCCCTTTGAGTGCAACCATAATGCTAATGTGGCCCGCGATGAAATTGAGTTTGACACCCCTGCTCTAGAGGGAACTTTGTGATTTTAGCCTTTGCAGACCATTTACATGCACACAAACCTATACATCACAAGACAACAAAGGGAAAACCCCAAAAAGCATTATAGGTCCTCTTTAAGTAAAGGCTTTTTGTGTTGGCGATGTGTGCTTTTAATAAAAACTGAATTTGTTTACAATTCCTAGAATAAAGCATTTTGTTCCCGTGGCTGTAAAAAGTTTAGTAAGTATTTGTTGAGTAAAATCCTCCTAATGTTTGAAAAGGTAAAGGTTGGCATTTTTGATGTGTTTATTTCTTGCAAAGCTGTCATTATGCGCATGAACGCTTTTAGTTTGCAATGATGGTTCCCACAAAGCACAGCTTGATAAAATGATAAGTGGTTGCTTTGATATTATGTTGCAATTAGAAGCTATCTGTTTGGTGATCTTTCGCCTCTCCTCAGGCAAAAGCTCTTACAGCACATTAGAGATATCCCCGCTCTGTTGTCTGGTAGTTACTGAGTGGAGCACAAATCTCAAGTGTTGTTTTCTTCGCTCTCAGCAATTCAATTGTGATAACTGTATTAAAAGTGTGGTAGGTAAGTTTGAGAAACCGGCTTGAGATACACTTTTTGTTATATTCCATGGAATGCTCTTAACATCCCGATAGCAATGAATATCTGAAGTGCTTTGACAAAAAAAATCCATAAAAAATGTCATCTGTGGAAGCCGTAATACTGTAAAAAGCACGACCAATCATTTTAGCCGGCCCGGCTAAAATAACTGGATGGCCTACCTGCCTGTCAGCCTTCCATCTGTGCACAAACTTATCTCGTGCCCTCATTGGTCATGTGGCGTCCGTGTGTGTTGGAGGAGGGGCTCTGTAAGGAAGTGGCAGATTTTTTCCTGTTGTGTATTTTCAAATTCTAGCGCACTCGAGCTGGTTTCTCCAAAATTACCTACCCCACCTTTAAGTCCTCCAAATAAATAAATACAAACTAATTATAGGCAGCTTTGTTTGTCTGGAAGAGTGGAATTTAAGCACAGCTTTGCTTAGTGAAGGGTCATACTATTTGATAATAATTTCAAAGAAAATAATAAAGAAATCCTATGACAAAAGTAATAGAATATAATCTAATCGGAGGGATGAAACCCTCTTTAATGGTCACTAGGGATGTAACGATACCAAAAACTCACGGTACAATATTTATCGAGATATTGAAAAATAAAGGGGAAAAAATGTGAAAATGTTTTTTTTACTTGCATTTTTTTCTTTATTAAATAATAAATCTGATTTGTACAGCATTTTAGTAGGATAGTAGTATTTTAAAGTGTCAACAATATAATAATCAGACCCTGCAATAAAATAAATCAAGTTTCACTTTAGTTTTTCAAGCAACTCAACTCTAACTCACTCACTCAGCATCATCAAGGTTATCTTTTAGGAATATGAGCATGTCCACATTTCCAGGTAGAAGCTGGGATGTTTGGGCGTTTACAATATCCCCTGCTGTGGAAACAACTCTCTTGCTTGGTACTGATGTTGCTTGGACAGAGAGATATGCTTTGGCCATGGGTGACAGCAGTGGGTAAAACTGTGCATTGTCTCTCCACCACTTCAAAAACAATACAGTTTTTGCCAAGAAGGTGAGGCTTATTGACAGGGCGAGATATACATATACTGTTGGTACTTGTCAATGTCTCTAGGTATGTACATGTAGCCCTGTAAATACGATACCTTTTGTGTTATCTGTTGTTTTATGTTCATGTTGTAACCTACTTGCTGCCATGTTGGACAGGTCTCCCTTGAAAAAGAGATAGATTATCTCAATGGGACCATCTGGTTAAATAAAGGTTTTTAAAAAAAATATATTTAAAAAAATCGTGGTATATTTTGTCAGTCTCACGACGGTATTGAGACATTTCTTTACCGCGGTATTCGATATATCGTTACATCCCTAATGGCCACACATGCAGAGCACACAGCACACACAGTGAAATGTGGCCTCTGCATTTAACCCACCCTAGTACCAGGAGTCTAGTACTAGGAGCAGTGGGCAGCTATTGTACAGCGCCCAGGGAGCAATGTAAGTTTCTCTCTTTCACTGAATTAGCTGAACTAGCTAAATTGTCTTGTAAGTAATCATATTACATTCAATTGAATGTTTTTGTCCAAAGGGACTTACAATAATTGCATTCGACCATGAAGAAGTCAGTAGGGGCTTGGACTGGGAGCTGTAGGGTCGTCGGTTCAAGTCCCCGACCAGACTTAAAATATGGAGTGTGGACTGCTACTTGGAGAGGTCCCAGTTCACCTCCTGCCCTGCCATGGTGCCCTTGAGCAAGGCACCGGACACCCCCCTTCCCCCCTCACTCCCATTGCTCCCCAGGCGCTGTACAATACACTGCTCCTAGTACTAGACTTCTGGTACTAGGATAGGTTAAAAGCAGAGAACACATTTCACTGTGTGTGCTGTGTGCTCTGCATGTGAGACCATTAAAGAGGGTTTCATCCCTCCCAATTCTATTCTAATTCTATTCAAAAGCAAGAATCCTGCAGGTACATTTCCTATCTATAAAGTGCTACGTACAGAAGATTTTTTTGAATAATTGATTCATTTAACACTGCCTACTTCATTCAAACACGACCGAAAAAACAAAAAATGAACAACTTCCTCTTTAACACAGCATGAATAACCCACCTTGCTCCCTTCTGATTAAAATACATAATGTTTCGACCTCTCCTCCTGCAGGTACATGATGTTGATCAACGGAAAAAATGAAGTATTCATGATCGACAGAGACAACACGATCTTCCACATAGCGAACCTAGAGTTTCCTTTCCGGAAGGATCCACGTGTACACCTCGCAAATACTCTATTGGACGGGGTGAGTGAATACTGCTCTTGTTTTTGGATTGTAATGTATTGTGCCATGCTAGCTTCTCTTGATGCTCCTTTAAGCCCCTGTCACACTGTACGGAAATTGACACCCGATGGACACACGATAAAGGAAATGTTCAAATTCGGCTCTGATCGTAACAACATCGGGCCATTCGTGAGGGCATCTTAAGCCATCGTATGACCGCCGGTGGAGTTTCTCAGGCTCCGGCAGCAACTTCGTGAGTGATGGCAAAATCTTTGGCATGCCCAAAAATTTCCGAAGGACCTTGCCAAGGTTCATTTTCGTGTTGAATTTGTGTGTCCATTTTGCCTCTTCGTCTGATCATCGGTGCCATCGGGCATTTTTAGCCTCACGAAGACAATACAAAGGAAACAAGAAGCTGCCCGATTGTCTTAGTGAAGCCCTCGCAATAGGCGCATTCACACTGCGGTACTTTTCCCACAAAGGTTCATGTGAACTTAGTTCATGTGAACTCTTTAGTTCGCATGAACTAAGTACAGATCGCGTTCACACTGGAAAAAGTCCCTGGGGGTGGATTAGGCAAATGAAGCCGCTGACGTCACTTGTTCTTCTTCTGCTTTGGGCTTACTGGCAGGCCGCAAACCACTTCACGGCGTATACTGCTGCCCAAAGTCCCCGGCCGGAAGTCCCCGAAGTTGGGGACTGGCTTCAGTAGAAGCTGCTGGGACTCCCAGCAGCTTCTACTGAAGCCTTCCGAGTAAATCGCCAGAACGCCGACACCTCCTCATCTCCACCACTCCCATGTTTTATTTTGTGTTGCCATAAGTTAGTCTCTCTGCATTTCTGCGCTGGGATAATGCTAATGCTAATAATGCTAATGCGAGGATAATAAAATGGCGGCTTCACAAAACTTTTTGGGAGTTTTGCGGGGCGTGGTTTGCAATCCTTCCAGCCAATCAGAAATGTAGCTCTTTTCTCACAAAAGAGCCGCTCGAAAGTCCCTGCTCTCTAGCAGTGACTTTCGAGGGGGTAAAAAGGTTCACATGAACTAATTTTAGTACCGGCTCTTTTTGGTGTGAACGCGATAAAAGAGTTCACATGAACTAAGTTCACATGAACCTTTGTGGGAAAAGTACCGCAGTGTGAATGCGCCTTATGCCGTCGTGTAGCAATCGTATTATAGTACGATGACATCGAGATGGGACCACGGTGTGCAATGTTTCCTTGCAGATCGCTTCTCTGGTTGTTTTATTGCACAACAAAATCATGTAAACATATTATGTAAATAACCCAATTTGTTTTTCTGTGAAACTGAAAAGGATATTACATTGTTTTTGTTGCAGTTGTATGTCTTAAATGTAGGGCTGTCAAGTTAACGCCACTAATTATTTTAACGTGCGATTAACGCATTTGTCCTCGGCCCGCCCCGTAGTTTCAGAGCCCAAAGGCTTGACGTTGTTGTTGTTGTTAGTTGGATGGTGGGAGATTCTAGCGAGAGATATGGATACACAAAAATGTGTTGTAAACAGCACACAGCTGATGCTGACATCCCCGCTCCTGCCGCTCACTTGCGGCAGACCACGCTTGAAAGTTTGCTGGGGAGACGCCTGTACACGGCGTCTACGAGCAGCAATCTTTCAACAGCGATAGCTAAATGGGTGGCTACAGCTTGCAGGACAATTAACATTGTGGAGGACGAGGGACTGTGTGAGATAATTTGGATCGCATCCAACGTGTCGACTGCACATCACAGCGCATTATTGACCCTAGGTGGGAACTTCAGTCTCATGCTTTGACTGAAGATGAAGACAGAGGAGCGGCATTTCGCCGACAACTGTAAACAGGCTTGTCTGTTTGAGCAACTGGCTCAGTGCAAATAAGTAGACCGGGTTGGGAGAGAGTGTAAGAGAGAGAGAGAGGTTCCAGGTTGTTGTGTGGAGAATATTTGTCATTGTTCCAATGATAATAAAACATTTGCATAAAGCATATTTGTCCACTCATATGTTGATAAGAGTATTAAAAACTTGAAAAATATTCCTCTAAGGTGCATTTAGAACAGATAAAAAATGTGCGATTAATCGCGATTAACTATTTTAATCGACTGACAGCCCTACTTAAATGTAATTTAAGTTAACTTCCTGTTTTATTTAGATGCTTTTATTTTGAAGGCGAGTTTAAGCTGTTGACAGGAAGTTGTTGTTGCTATGGAAACAACATGACGGAGAAAACTTAATATCTTCTAAATATAAAGACGGAGAAAGTAAAGAACAAAGTCTGAAAATATCAGTCAACATTTTTTTATATACAATCAAGTTTCCAAAATGTAAAGTCCCATAGTATTTTTTAACATAATTGTTTTTGTTACTCTCATTGCAGTTGTATGTCTTAAATCTAATGTAAATGTTGCCTTCGTGTGTGGTTCGGGCGCCATCGTGTGGCCTTCTGTAGGCATCGTACTTGCTTCGGCTGTTGCTTGGCCATTGACCAAGTTCGGGGCCATCTTTGTGCGAAATTCACAATTCCATATTCGTGTGTCCATCTGGTGTCAATGTCGGGACAGTGTGACAGGGGCTTTAAACGACACCGTTTTTCCCCTTGAACGGAAATTGTTGGGGAAATACTGAATGTACTCTTCCAATATCAGAGTAGCACATGATAACAAAGGCCCTACGTAGCTGTGGACGTAACAGGATGTATGATTACCCAGAAGAGCGTCAGGACTATTTTAGGCATATGATAGCTATGTGATTAACATGATGATTCAGCCTCTATGGAGATACACATATGACTGTCGTGTTTATTGACTACGTCGGCCTTAGCTAATCTGAGCTAAACATTGAATATTGCTTTGAAGCGGTATTCTGCATCTTGTGACTGTGTAACTCCCTCTCTTGTATATAAGCATGTGAAGGACACTGTTCTGGGAACTATTTGTCCCATGCAGCTCTGTATGTGATGACTATTTCCATTCTTGCAAGGATAATAAATACATGTATCCTGATTATTGAAACTCAAGCTAGTCCCCTCCATTTCTGATGTCTCACTCACTTCCTGCCCCCTGCCGCGCAGTCTTGCAGATAATTGACACGAGTTGCCAAACCTTAGGTGAAAGAAAAGCATGTCTGACAGTCGAGTCTTTACAGGCTTACAGGAAAACGATCGTCCGTGTCCTGGAGAAATGTTTAATAGTTGTGTCACTGTTTCCTCTCTTGCCTCACAGTGTGTTGTAATACTCAGTGTACGCTCCCCAGGGTGATAGTTGGGGTCGCTGACTTCTCCTCCCTCATCCATAATACCATGCACGTTTTTTTATTGGCATGTTTGTGCTGTTAAGCTCACACAAATTCCCAGCTGCAGGTGCACACACACGAGTCATTATCCCGTTCCCCAACTGGAAACACAGCCAGCTAAACTGCTTTATGGTCACGCAGTCAGTCGAGATTTAATCATACATGTCTGGCAGTGTTTTGCGTTTGATATTCCGGCCCTAGAGATGACAGATAAGTTGCTTGTGATTGTTTTTTGTTTTGCCTCTGGCCTTGTTTTGTTTAGCAATTTTATGTAAAGTAGGTGTTTGCTTCCTCTTGGCTTATCAGCTGCCGATTGATGCAGAGAATGTGGTTTCCTCACTCAGGCAGGACATCTAATTGCGGCGCATTAGTGCTATTTGGAAGGAGCAGGCCGTACTTGTGTTTGGATTGCTACAAGGTTTGTTTTGACTGTGTTTATTCATCTGTTGATGCTTCTGGCTCTCTCGGTTGAAGAGGCGATGTTGAGCCCCGTAGAAGCCAAGCTGTGTTGTCTGATATATTTCATCTTCAGCCCAAAGACACTGGTCTTTGTCTTGACATGCTGTTCTGTTGAACAGTTTTTAATGAGCTTTACATCAACTTGATGTCCAACATTGGATGTGTGCGCCATGTAGATTGAATTTGGTTGTCTTTGGTCACATTAATGTATTCCTCCGCCGCTGTCTGTCTGTGCAACGCTTCAGTGCACCAGATGCATAATAATGGCAGCCTCCAAAGGACATCATTACTTCTCTCTGTGCCTGCCATTCACTCTTCTTCATCCACTCCACCAATATGGCTTTGGATATTAAGTGTTGCTGTTTGTTCCTGCCTTTTGATATAAACATATAAGCTAGTAAAGAAGCACATTGAGGATTAATCCTACCACAATATGTATAGTATGTTAGCTTAATTCAAAAGAATTGCAGGTACTTAATTGGTGCCCATTACTACCAGTGTAGCCTATATCAAAGGGCCTTCAGCCACCAGTTGTTGCTAAATGTTGCGTTCAAAGTGAGCAACTACATTAAGGGGTGTTTAAAAATCCATGGTTTATGGTGAAAGTTAAATAATTTACCAGACCCTCTCATTAAATCAGTTCACTTCTTCTATTGTCCACCTTGAAGAGATATTAAAGTGCACCTATCATGCTATTGTTAGGCAATAGCATAGGTCTCAGATGTATAAAAATATATAAAAAACATGTCTATGAAGTGTTTTGCTCAAAATACCAAACAGATCACCCATTCTAGCCATGCCTCATATCCCTCTATTTCACTTCCTGTTTCAAAAGTGCTGATTTTGAGAATAAAGCTTTAAAAAAATAAAAAAGGAGGGGTCTGAGCTCATGCGGGACCCGGCAGCTACTTTCTAAACTAAATACTGCCGTGATGAAACGCCATATCATGGATTATCAAGGATTTTTCTGAAACAGTATGGATCTCAAAGGCTTTCTCTCTTGCCGGTTATACCACAAAGTGAGTTCCTTTTTATTTCCTGCTTCTTCACACACATGCTCTCCAGTACAGGTTAGCTCTGAGTGTTAGCGATGCTAATGTAAACATGCATCGATCATATTACGTCCAAAACAGTCGGGCATTGTTTCTGATAGCAACGTTTCTGATTGTGCCGTGGGTCCACATTTCCGATATTATGTCATATTGGATGCAAACCTGGATCAGCTCCGTTGTACCCCCGTTTTTAGATTTGTGTACGGAGGAAAGGAGAGAGGGTTTTATTTTCTGACGCTGCGTGAGTTCCCCGACACACTGGGGGACAAAAGACATACAAAAGTGCATTTTGCATGATAGGTCCCCTTTAAGATAAGTTTGAACAACTTTCTTATATACAAAAACGATGGATGTTAGCTCCACTTTTGTCCCACTTTATCTCCACCCAGGTTTCATCTACTAGACTTCTGAAACCAATGGGTGACAGTCATTACGTTTACTACAGCTTATTGACTACTGGAAACAAAAGCAGCTTTTCATGTTCAAATCACACGGGATTGCAGAACAATTTAGACAAAACTGAGCTGTCTTTTCATCTGGCTGTTGTGATAATAAGAGATAACAGATTTTGCTTGGTACAATACAATATAAAGTCGATAAATATCCTGGTTAGAATATGTAATTATTGCATCGGCACAACAGGGCTGGAGCTTTACAACATGCGGCACAGTTAGAACAGCAGTGGCTTAACTGTTATTTCCACTGACCCTGTGGAGAAAAAATGCCCATTTTGGGCCACATTGTGAGTTAAATGAAATAAAAACAGCACATTATTCAGTAAACTCATCTGGACTGCCCAGTACAGCAGAGTCCCTGGAGCTCATATACAGCCAATCTCAATAATAACAGCTTTATCTAGTGGGAACAAAACTTTAAAAGACAACATTACATGACTCATTTGACCCAAAATAAGTTATTTCTTTTAACAACATGAATGCTAATACATCAATTATAATAAGGTTCATTCCTGTCATTCAGCCAGAAGACTTCCTTATTTGTTCATTTGTATGGAAAAGTATGCAGCATCCTTAAAATACTTCCCACCCTTCCCAGCACCTGCTTCTCCTCTACCTGTCTTTTACTGCCGCAGAGCACAGTTAGTCACCTGAATATTTTACAAGAGTTAAAAACATATATATAGTTCTATAGTGCTTGAGCGGTGGTGACGTCTGAGTCTGCTGTCGCTGCAATGCCTGGTTGTGTAACAGCTGTTTGAAAACTACTCATGTGTCTGATGGGCATCCTGCACCACCGCTGCACCTGACTTTCAACTGGAAAGTGTTGCATAATGGATGGTCATTGTTATTTCTGCTTCATGTCCTTCTGCACCAGACCTCACTGCGCACACACACACACACACACACACACACACACACACACACACACACACACACACACACACACACACACACACACACACACACGCACAATTCCCCAATTCCATACTACCCTTGTCATTGCTGCAGGCGTCTCCCCCTGTGAACATGCGTCCCCTCGAGAGCGCTCACTCTCAAGTGCTTCACTGTTTCTACCCTGGTTTCAAAGAAAAACTGCACATAGTATGCCGTGAAGACATCCCCCTTTTCATCATCTTCATTCAACTGTATATATTTTTCTGTCAATAACAACAAAGTGTATCTTTGCTCTTTATCTGTGCAGGAGATGATCATCGACAAAGTGAACGGTCAGCCGGTGCCCCGCTATTTGATATACGACATCATCAAATTCAATGTGAGTAGCCCCGGCTGTTTGAGAATGTGTTGTCTGTTATTTGACCTATCGTTCCTTGAGAAGCTGCCAGATCAAGCGGTCAGACAGAATAAACAAACCAAAGAGTGGAAGTAAAGAGCATGACTCTTCCTGACACCCCCCCCCCGCCCTTCCCCGCCCTTCCACTTGTAACGCAGCGACCTTTACTGAAGCCTGGGTTTCGCCCTGAAACTTGGGCTCAACGGCATCTAATAATGAATATTTGTAAGATAAGTCTTTGTGTTTTTATCACTGAAATTTGTTTTCCTCACCTCCATTGACCTGTGTTGTTAATCACTTCAAACTAAATATATTTGAAAAACAAATGTTTTACTTTTACCAGTGGAGTCACCATATCTGGTTGAAGTGGACCCGTGATCAGCCAATTACTTGCGTTGTAGTCGGGCAGCAGTACTTGCCCTGGTGTATATGGAAATAAAGCACACTTACATTACATCTAAATGGGCATTTTCCCTAGGCTGTTAATTGCTAACATACTTTAAAACTTTAAATGAATGAATCACTTTGTTGCCAGTGGCAAGCAGGCTGGCAAAGAGACCAATGAGCCTTAAGTTTCCCCATAGCTAGCCTTTGGTGTCAAACACCCGGGTGAAGGGGAAGAGGGGTTTACTTTAGCTAAAATGTGTGTCTGTCGCCTCCTTTTCTCCATCGATCGGTAGAACACACAAGCAGGCAGCTCAATAGGCTCCAGTGGTGAGGGGAACATCTTTGTCAGATGGAGCAGAGGTTATTATCTCATCATGACTCTCCCCCGAGCTATCAGCAAAGCGCTTGTATCGATCCTCGCTTGCCATTATTAGCCTTCTCCATTATCTGTGGCGGGCTGCTCCTTGGCACCAAGGCTCCATCCTGAGACCGGGGATGGAGATGCAGCAGGAGGGAGAACACACCACCTGCTAAGCCCATGGCCCAACGTGACACCTACTTGTTTGGGAAATTTGGGTGAAGCAACGTACTGGGATTCTTTCGATCGGAGCTCGATGAGAAATGTGTGTCCTCTAGCAGAGACGGGTGATTTAGCTGTGAGTGAAGGGTCGGACTATGTTCTGCGGATTTTGATAAAGATAAATGACGGTCAGCATATACCGTGCTCTTCATGTTAGAAGCAATTTATATTCTTAGTCATCACGCAGTGGTACTTTGTTGAGATTGCTGATGTGTACAGTACCTCTCCAACCATGTAACTGATTCACCCTGACTATTACCCTGAGAAATGGAGTGAATCTTCTATTTCTGCCTTTGCTGCAAAGTATAAAAACGTATTTCTTTGTCTTAAAAGTTATTAGTTCTTGTCAGACTTGTCCAATTTCTCTGACTTCAGAAAAGGGGTGCTCCGCCTATATGGGCAACTCTCCACCTATCAGGGGAATGAGAGGTTGGGCCACGGCCATTGCCCAACCTCTCATTCGCATATAGGCTGTCGGAAAGCTAAATCTCCCCCAGTCACGTCTGTGTTTTTGCCTGCTCTTGCCAGGATGTCTAAGGGAGTTAAACGTTGTGCTGTTGTTGGCTGCAAGAATCGGCACAAGGACAAGGGACTGCATGCAATGCCATCCCTGGAAAAAGACAATAATCTGTGGCAGAAGACTCCAGCAGATTTCTGTTTGTGTGTTCAAAACATTTTACCACGGACATGTTTATGAACTAGATTTTTTTCGCCAGACAAAATTAGAAAAGTGCCGGTCAAAGGTCTTCTTTGTTATTTATTGAGCTTTAAAACAAATGAATAACGAACGACTCTATATAATAATATAAGAATAATACACGGAGGACGGAGCCTCTCTTTTCCTCCCCCTCTTCTGAGAGCCCAGCAGCTGATCTCCCTCTCCTACAGGGGGGCGTGGTCAGCTGCAGCTCATTTGCATTAAAGCTACGTCACAGAATCAGCCCTTGCAAAAACAGGGCTGGAAAAGAGGAAATGGAGCGAAATGAGGCATGGCTAAAATGCATGATCTGTTTGGTATTTTGAAAAAAAAAATTCACAGACATGTTTTATATAGGTATGGCCCTACAATATATTATTCAAATATAGCATGATAGGTCTACTTTAAGCAAAGGAGGTGGTTATTATCGGGATAATTGTACTCAGATGTAGCTGAGAGTGCTGCAATGCTCTCTATTTAACCATACTTGGCCTGAAAATTCAATACAAGTCATATTATATAGAATTATAATGCACTTGATTATCAACCCATACCACTGGTTGCACCTGCTTTTTTTCAACTAGGATGTATTGCATCAAATGTATTATTTGATTAATTATAAGAGGATACATAAGTATATTCAGTTTTTGAAAAAAAGTTCTACAATCCTTTCTTCTAACTATCCTACAAACTGTTAAATCCTTTTGAATCACAGCGACCGGACAGCTCATTGCTTAATGCATTTTTGCAGTTATTGAACAGAAAGGTAAGCCCCACTGGATTTCACAATGACTCATAAAGGAACAGGAACGGCTTCAGGCGCTCGTACAGAACAACTGCAGACTATCGTCAATCGTTGTGGCACAGACCTATCTGACTACATTTGTTAAACTAAAAAGTGTTTTCAAAGTCAGAAACCAGACGGGTCACAATGTGAGGCAGTGAAGGGAAGATGGTGGAAAAAGATGCAGCCTCTCCTGTCGGTCCGGTCTGGTTTCAGATCAGCTCGAAAACAAAACCTGCGTTCTGTCTTGGGAGCAGCCCTAAGTGGTGACAAGATATTTAGGTTTCTGGAGGGCTGTCTTCAGTCTGCAAAACACTTACGGCCCATCCACACAGCAGCGTTAAAAAAATCTTCCAACGCTTCTGCCCATTGACTTTGAATGGGGTGACGTCACTTTGCCTCGCTTTTCGCTGAACTGCATTGTGGGAAGCAAAGTGGAGATTTCCAGGCATCTCAGGATTCAAAAGTTGAGCAATGTTCAACTTTTGAAGCTGAGGTGGAAGCGTCAGTCAATCAAATCCCGTTTATGCAAATCTGACAGTACAAGCGCTAGCCAATCAAACCACGTGCAAGCTGGGAGAGCCAGACCGCAGTTCATTTTCTATATTCTGAAAATGGAGGAGAAATTAGTTATTGCGGTAGCAAATCACCCGGTTCTTTATGACCAGTCGCTAATAACTTACCGGGATACAAACCGGAGGAAGCAGGCATGGAGGGAGGTGGCAGAGACAGTGGGTGAAACTGGTAGGTTTTCGCCTGTTTGGGGATTTTATATCCAGTTTACTTCGTTTTAACATTGCTATTGCTTTGTATGTCGGGGGCGGGAGATTCATGTGATTGGTTGTTGGTCGCGTTGCTCGCAAAAAATCCCCAAGCTTTTAGACACGCCCACCTCCGAGATTTTCAAGATTTTTTTAACGCTGCTGTGTGGAAGGGCCGTTAGTGTGTCTGCAAAACACTAAGAATTCAGGCTAAAAATGTTCCTTCCAGGGGCGGATCTAGACAAATATTCATGGGGTGGCAAGAGGGTGGCAGGAGATTTTGAGGGGTGGCATCCCCTGACAGAAGTATATGCTGATTTAAATCGCAATCATATCAATCAATTAGGGGTGTAACGGTACACGTACCCGTACTGAAATTATTCGGTACGGGCCCTTCGGTTCAGTACACGTGTGTACCGAACGAATATAGCGTTAAACGTAAAAAATTGAGAACATGAACAACTTTCTGGAAGTAATCTATATCATAGAGCGACCAAGTCATTTCATTGGACGAGAGGCATACTATGAGAGCTAGTCACAGGAATGCGTTCAAATGTAGTCAGTAATTTGAGGAACTGTCGAAATGGCGAACGCAGATAAAGTTGAGCTGAAAATCCTCCAGCATCATTGAAGTCTCCGGTTTGGGAACATTTTGATTTCGCAGTTACGTACAAGGATGAAGGACAAAGACAGGTGGACCGAACCAAAGCTGTTTGTCGGCATTGTTCAACTAACATTGGTTACGCGGATGGCAATACATCACACTCATTTGAAAAGGCATCACCCGAACGTGAATATCACCGGTACCAAAAGAAAAAAGACTGAAGTGCAAACCCAACTCCCGCTAGCATTTAAGCCTCCACCACTCGCAAAGAGTTCAGACCGAGCCAAAGCTATTACAAACGCCAAATATCCTTATGTTGCCATGTTAGCAAAGCGCTACCTGGCTGTATCTGCTGCCACTGTCCCTAGAGAGGGTGTTATCCACAGCAGGAGACATTGTTATTGCCAGCAGATCTGCCCTTTCAGCAAGCAATGTGGACAAGTTCATCTTTCTTTAAACAACATGAAAATACAATGACAAGCAAGTCCTAATGTCAAGCTGGCTGCTTAGGTACTAGTACAGTTCAAATACAGATTATTTCAGTTCATCGAAATGCTGCACCTTAATGTTTATTTTACTATATTTTGTATTTATTTGAATACATTAGTCACAGTTTAATAATAATTTAAAAAAAAGATTTAATGTTTTGTGATAATTTTTTCTGCTATACCGAAAACGTACCGAACCGAACCGTGACCTAAAAACTGAGGTATGTACCGAACCGAAATGTTTGTGAACCGTTACACCCCTACAATCAATGTTAACTTGGAAAGCCACAATATTAATATTTTAACTCAATCACATAGGTGATATTATTGTGGCACATCAGTAAAGCCTTACAAGGTGGCAGATGTAATTTAATGAATTTTAACTGAACAATAACTGAATGAGTTTGTTTCACTCTTAGACCAGTAGGGGTACCAAATATATACAGACTGCTGCAATAAGTACATTAATTAACTGTCTCATTGATGTTTGTCTGAATGAATATGATACTATTAACAATCATATTATTCCTATCAGCTGTCAATCACTGTTAATAAATAATAATAATAGATTTAATTTGTTAGCGTTTTTACAGGTGCTCAAAGACGCTTTACAGATATAGTGAAGACCTGTTATGATTCACATATTCATTTATTATTGAATAAACTATATTTTTTGGAGGA